CGCCCGCGCGGGGAGGCGCTTGCCCCCCGGGCCTGGCTCTGAGGCAGCTCCACCTGCAGGAGAACAGCGCCTGCAGCCTGAGCCCACCCGAGAAAGCCTTTAAAATACATTGAAATTAACCCAGGGGTTCAGACAGTTTTGTTTTAGTAAGGCTTTCTCGCTTTCCCTTGGAACAGCATTGTCCAGCAGCCCCTAGGGCTGTTTCACATCATTCCCCATTGCGGCACAGTTCCACCTCTGCAGGACTCTAAGACACTCAGACAGACAGATGATTCTGGCTGAAGCCTGTCTGTTATCATTACTCCTGCTGCCAGGTGGGCAGGTGGGAACCGTGTTTCTGTGGATGTGTTAGCTCTAGAGGGCTGTGATTTGGCTCTGGTGCTGGGGAGCGCTGCTGACTGCGGAATTACACACGCTCCACACCGCAGCCAGAGCAATCACCCTTACCTTTTGCCCTGCATTTTCTCAGCTCTCGATCCTGGATGAAGCCAGCAAACATTTGGGATTCCATGAAAACTTCCAAGAAGCGGCGGATACTCTTGGAGGCCACAGATTTACGGAATGCCTCTCTTTGGAAGGCACGCTCTCCCTTTTCATTCTGAGTTAGGAACAGGGAATAATGGCCAATCGTCTCCACAAAGAATCGGATAAAAACTTCGGACACTAATCCATTCAGGGTGTTACATTCTGCAAAATAAGGCAGCAATAAGACAGCAGAATCAGCTGTGACATGAGCTCTCAGCCTCATCATCCACACTGGGCCGGATATGGTCATCTAAGAGCTTAATGATGCTCTGCTTACAACTGAAAGCAGTTGTGTAGCTCCTGGAGGCCTTAGACATCAGTCAGAGAGGGAAAAGTGTAACACCCTTACACCAAGAGTGCCAGTCTACGCAATTGGTGTTTCATAACCGAGAATCAACAAGAACTACCAATTCTCAGGAGATAGCGCAGGAAATTAAAATGTCTGTCAGTGCTTCATCAAAATTGTACCTCGGCTTTTAACTTTAAATGAGTGTGTTCTCGAGAAACTTCTGAACTGCTCTGAGAGTTAAAATGTTTGCTCTGGCAGTAATAAACCTTTACCAAGAACTGATCAAAAGAGTATAGACTTTTTTATAATCACTTTTGAGATGTTAATATAGCTCTGCATACATATAGCAAAGATCAGTAGAAAATAAATTTCAAAAACTGAGTAGAGGCCTGTTTCATACCTCTTTATCACAGGCATTTGAATTCACCGTAGGCTTTTTGAGTAATTGCTGGAGAGAAATACAGACCCACAGAAGCAATTCAGCTGTTCTAGCCCACAAAGCGCTTTCTAGAGGTCTCTGCTTCTCTCCAAAGTCTGGCACAGACTTTGCACCTGTAGTTACCTCCACTGATTTAAGGCCAAGTTGACTACCAAGCTGTGTCTGAGCAAAGGCTTGGAGGTGTCCAGGTGAACAGGTTGCTGCGAGTGGCTCACTCTGTTGATGCCGTCAGTCCCACTGCCTGTGTTCTGAGATTATCTTTGATGCAGAAGGTATTTCAGTACTGCAGGCCCATCCTTCTCCTAGATGGAGTCACAATACTATCTACATGCCTATTCATACAAATCCCATTTCCAAATGAACTTACTTACCGTCATCAGAATCACTATCTGAATCCTGATTTATCAGTTCATTCTTCCTCTCCAAAGCCTGCTCCAGAGCTGCTTGCAGCTTTCTAGGTAATAGTGTATCTTCATCATCCATCTGATGGAAAAAAAAAATCGTTCAGTCAACTGTACAGAAACTGCAGCAAATCCTTCTGCAAGGTTGAGAATTCTGATGCAGAACACTTTGTGTCTGCTGGTGTTGAGTACATAAATGAAATAATGAAAATTTATGTGTATCTACCATATATTTCTAAATAAAAGTTCATGTCACTTTTAATAACATTAAAGTTAGGAAAGATAACCCATAGAACAAGATAAATATATACACAAGCTCTTTGCACGACAGCTCTTTATATGAGAAATGTAATCTAGAATAACCCCACAGGAACAGTGGAGTACAAATAGTTGTTTTTAAAACTTGTTCAGGAAAAGTGAGCAAACACAAGAATGCCAGTGGCGCAAGCACTCTCCACCAGGCATATCTTCCAAGGAATCCTAAGAAGGGAATTAACTGTTTGCCTAACCTGCAGGTAGGACACTTGAAGTTCTCTAGGGCAATGTAACTTTCAGGAAACGGTGATCATTTTTCCCTCCCTGTTCACAGGGCTCCTCCTTTTCCTACTACACTAAGCTATTCTCCACCTTTCCTCTTTTACTCTGGCGACTTTCCTTTTTTTTAATGTTTATTCTTTTCACCTCCAGCAATGCTGGTTTTCTTGCTAGCATGATGTTTTCTTTGGATATGTTCTTTGCACTGCAAATATTTTTTTTCATCTATTCTGACAGTAACAGCCTCAATTCCTGTGACATATCTGAAGAGCAGTACTTATTTACAGATGAAACAGAAAACTTGAGTACATTTTTCCTGTTCTTTTATCCACTGCACGGTTCCTGCCAAATGCCTCTGATCAAAGAACCTTAGGAATACTACAGGACTAAACAGCTGGCTAAACTGGGTGGCAACATTTCAGGCCGTACTCTACCTGTCTGATGAATCGATCGGATCCCAGGTTAACCATCAAAGCCTGAAGAAAAGGGAACAGCAGTGACGTTAATAAAATTCCTACTGTAAAAATAAATTTTAAAAAAGGGTTGTGTGCTTTTTAAAACAGCAAGATGAAGTTTCCCTCTTTATAGGTATAAAATTCAGGTACAACAGACTTCATATAAAGGCTAATACACAAAACAAGCTCAAAAGTTTAGGCAGGATTTTTTTTTTGAACCTAAGAAGTTGCCACTGATCATTTTTGTTAGTGTCTAGAAAATCAAAATCAGACAGAATATTTACACTATCCTTACTTATTAACAAGGTTAACATTCACTTCTCGTGGTCAAGGTGCCAGACGTACGAATGGAGTTAGAACAGAGCGAAAGCGAAACCCTTTAACATCTCTCCACTCTGTTGCAATGTGTGAACATGAGAATCAGGCAGAGAAGCAAAGAGGCAAATTAAAAATTAAACACGAGGACTTATGTGAGACCCTCTGCAGAGCGCGACCAGCTTTACTGCAGGCAAGCAATTCTGGCGCCAGCTCCTACCTCCTCTACGGGCAGCTCCTTCAGCTTGGGCAGGGAGCTGGAGAGCAGTCCCACGAGGAAGGGCGTCGGGCAGCACACGATGTCTATCATGGAGGCAGGCAGGACGGGGATGAAGGTGTGCTGCCAGGAGAAGGGGTACAGCAGGGCCACCACGGCGTGCGAACAGCTGGAGAGGGTGCTGAAGAGAGAGGAACCACGTCAGCAACACGGCTGGTTCTTAACCCAAACATCTGCTACCAGCTGATAAACAGAGTGTAATGAAACAGGCTGCCCGGTCCCCCAGAACACCTTTTGAAGTGCCAATTCTGGCTTAGGACAGGCTGGGTCCTGTTCCAGCTGCACCCCATCTATTCAGTGCTGCGTGGTGACTCCTCCTCTCTTCTTTAGGTGACTTGAAACTGAGCTAAAAGAATTTACTTTTTTTTTTTTAGTCTTTTTAGCTAAAGCTTTTAGCTTTAGTCATTTGTTTCATTACAGCACACAGGAAATACTTCGATCTAAAAAACAAAAGATGGATGTTCTCAACAGCCCTAAACCGCAGCAACTTTTAATGATGATTACGACAAAAAAAGTAGCTTCAGTTCTTAGCTGCTTTGACCGTGTCAATAGCAACAACGCATAATCTGATGTTCTTATGTCAGGCACTAATGCACAAATAAGAGAAAATTTAAAAAAAAATAGAAACAAAGTATCTTAAACAAATATTCTACCATTGTTTTTTTCAACACTTGTGAAAAAGGAACTCTAGCAAAAGCAACACGCTTTGCAAAGTATGCATATTTTTGTGAAAACAGCATGTTATTACTGTGATACATTTTGATGAAGTGTGTTGACTAGTGCCAGGTATAATGGTATCAACCCTGTTCAGCAAAGAGCTCTGAAATAAACCCGTCAGTATCCCCTAAATAGCAGTTTTCACACCATTTGTGGAAAATGTCTCAATTTCATTGTCCTTCTACCCACCCAACTCAGGCAGTTTCCAAAAGTTGCAAATAAAGGAACATCCTTATCAAGCTCGTTTTGCAGCAAAGGAAGAAAGACAGGCTCTTCTTTGCAAAGCTTTAAATCTGGCCTGAGTTACCACGTCTGCTTTTTGCAAGCTGAGGATGATGGAATTTGGGAATTTTAGCCAGCCTAGCATGACGGAACTGATTTTCTCACAGTGCAAACTTCTGCTGTGCGTATTGTAGCCTCAGAGAACGACAAATAACTAGAAACTTCAGGGCTACTACTGCTTAAGAATAGGGGTTGGGAGGGAAGTGCCAATCAATCTCTCTTATTGCAAGACTTCCCAGGAACTTTAGATGGCATCAGACCTCCACCACAGTAACTCACACAGCTTTCAGATGTGTGTTATTCTGGTGACAGCAGAAATGCTTCACCTGCTTCTTTGCTTTACTCAGTACCCTGCAGCATTTACTGAGTGGTCAAGGCAAGAATCGGACAGAAAAGAGAGGAAAGGGTGAGGTAAAAGTTAATGTTTATCTTTTACCGTAAATAATCTGTAGGGATTTTACTTGATACTTACTTAAGATCTCTCAGTCACAGCACGTTTGGATTACACACAGGCTTCTTATAAAATGCTGTGGTTTTATATTTTTTTCTGCAGCATGTGGTGGGGCTGCTATTTTGGCTTATATTTTGGTCCCTACAGTGGATGCGTAACGTTGCGCTGCAGAGGGACCGGGGGGCAGCACGAGGGAGCCCCGCTGCATGGTTCTCAAGCGTGCTATCGTCACTCCGCAGGATGCGCCACTGCTACAAGTTCAGTCATCACTGAGAAGTGCCTAAAAAAAGAACTGCGCCATGCTAAAAGCAGGAAGACAAACATTCTTCTAATACTTAGTTAGCATGTTTTCCCATTTCTCTATAGAATGCCCTTTTGTAATGCGGCCGTTCAGCCGCGGTGCCGTGACGTAAAGCAGCGCCTACATCCTCTGGCGCTCGCTCTTCCCACGCCGGGACCGGCTCAGGCTCTGGCCCAGCGCGGCTTCACCCCGGAGGGCAGTGGAGGGTCGTCCCGCGGCACCCCGCGCAGCTGCCCGCGCTAGGGCTCTGCGCGCAAGGTTTGCAACAGCGGCCCTGGAAATCCTCTCCTGGAGGGCAGTCCCAGCTGCCCCCTGCCAAACACTCCCCCTTGAATCAGCAGAGACGTCCCCTCGCTGTGCTCTGCCACTTGCACCAGGGAGCCCCGGCCTCCCCAGCAGCCTCAGAGCCACACGACGCATCTCCTCAACGAGTCTGTACTCACCTTTGCAGTAGGAACAGTCAAGTGCTAGTGATGGTTGTATGGGAAGAGCAAGCTTAAATCTCTAAAATTTTGCTCTAAAAGCACATTATTTTTGTGAGAAATGTGTTTGTCAAGTTAAAATAGAAAGCCTGGGAAACTAAGTCTGCTCCACTTTTTCCTTTCAAGATTTGCAACCCACACACTGTCCTGCTGTCCTTGCTTATGAGAAATGCAAAGGAAGAGCAGACTGTTTATTTTCTTTAAGGTGGGTGACGCACAAAAATAAACTCACAGAATACTCCCCAAAATTAGATTTAAAAAACATTTTCACTTGTAATAGTCCGGGCAGTTTTGATAATACAGGGAGAAGGTTTTGAGAGAAGAGTTTTTCCTTTGGCTTACACGTTTTCACAGGAATGCTACATAATGCTCTAGTTGTCATTTCCCTAGGAAACACTTCTTATATTATCTATTTACAGGTGATTTTATATGTGGGCATGAGAAATGAAGTCGCAGCACGAGTCACGTCCGGACAAGGAGGCTGTTTCCGAGAGGACGGGGTGCCTGAACCACGTGCAAGGAGAGGCCGTTCGGTGCCGGTGCGCAGCCGCCCTGCGCTGCAGGGAGCCAGCACGACTCCCAGCCAGAGGGACGTGGCCACGGCCCAGCCGGACTACCCTGCGGCACGCACCCCAGAATCCATCCCTGTACTTGTCCCCACTTGCACTCAGCTAGAGGGAAACTAGTGAACAACTTCTAGAAAAACATCCACTTTAAAACTGATTTCAAGGGGCAGAGAGAGACTCCGCACTTCTGCTTTTTTTCCCCTATGGTTATCATCCTATTAAAAGCTAAACGTGGGCTTACTTTTAATTGGAATTTGCCCAGGTTTTGGCTCTTGCCCCCTCTTTTAGTTTCCAGATGAAAAATACTTCTTTCCTACTCAAAGCTGATTTCTCTTCCTCCTGGGAATATTTTTCCAAATCATTTTCTCATGCCAACACATGCAGACTTCTCTGTGCCATGTACTCAGCTGTAGAGACCCAACGCTCAGGGATGTAGTAAAGAACTACAACACAGGATAGCTGTGGTGATGGCTTGTGAAAATGGCCTACGCCTGTGTCAAAAGTAAGTTCATGCAACTTAACTGTGTCCCTTATCCAGGTTAATAAAGCTAAGTAAGGGCAGCAGTTTTATTCTGGTGGATAAGGCCAAATCATAGCATCAGTGGTGAGATATAAATGAAAATATGTCAGTGTTGATGCTCCACCTGCTCTGCCATTATCAGAGGTGACGCCCTAAAGGAAGCACTTGAAGACCCCCTCGGCTATTTGAAAAGCCAGGTGACAAGGAGGCTGTATGTAAAATTGCATCTCCTTTGATCACTCTAGGCCACTGAAAAGAAAGAAAAAAAAATCTGGAACTCTTTTTTTTTTTTTTTTTTTTTTTTAAGAAGAAGCGCTGACAAGTTTTGCAGGAGTTCAGCATGAAGACCTACCCCAGAACAACTCAGAGCAAAATGAAGCAATTCGCAGCGGCTGCAGGGAAGGGAAGCACGGTGCCGGTGGCGGCCGTGAGGGGAGGCCCCGCGTCGCAGAGGCACCAACACGGACGCTGCAGAGCGGCAGCCGCCGCGCTCGGGACGCGGCGCCAGGCGCGGGCACGGCCGGGAGCGCGTGGGAAACTTTCCATGCAGGAAGGGCGCGAGGCAGCCAACAGCTCTGTGCTCGCAGCGTGGTGCCAAAGCGAGGCCGAGAGGAGGGAGTGCGGGGAGGCAGGCAGGCTGCCATGGGCACCAGCTAGGCTGAGTGGAGCTTAAAAGGACACCTCTATACACACGCACGTAAGACCTGCAGCTACTCATGGGTCTGGGAAACCTGCCTGGTTGTAGCATAGCTTCTGGCACTGTTTTCACAGGAGCAGGACTCAAATTTAAACTTCTTTTTTCCCTTTTCAGCAAAGTGCTTTTTGGCTTTTCTGGAAGCCCTTCTAGGCATAAACTAAAGAGCATCCTTCAAGCCCTTACAAGATGGTTTGAAAGCAGCTAACATAATGCTTCAATATAGTAAATAATTTTAACTTATTTTAATATTATTAGATTTATTTAATAACTTTTAATGATTTAATTCTAAGTTTAATTTAATAATCAAATAATTTGATTCTTACTCCCAGACTCATTCTCCTGTGGCAGAAATGCTCTGAAAAGAGCCCATGGCTGCTATGGGTACCCAGGCAGAAGCTCTGTCATGCTGCAGCCACGACACCTTTTCCCCCTCAGCACCGTGGCAGCTGTAGCAGTATTTGTTGTAGTGTTGGTAGTAATTAAGTATGAAATGTTCAAGACTGGCTACTGAGCTTGAATTAGCCCAGATGGACTTGGATCACCATGACTCCCACATAAGCGATCCATTCACCATCCCGCTCTCTCCCCATATTTTGCCCTCATGATCAGATTTGCGCTAGGGAAATCCCTACTTTATTTGAACAGGATAAGCAAAGCTTTCTATTGACAAATCCACTGACACCAGCAGGAAAAGTAACCTAAGATTTGTAGATACAGATTTGCCAGTATTTCCTTAGAAGAAGAAAGACAAGTATTAATCAGAAGTACTAGCTGCATATTTTAATCCATCAACTAAAGACCTCATGTCATGATTCTTAGTTTACTTTTATTCTTATGTGTTTGCTGTAAAAATACATGCATTAATCAGGAACCAAATCTGGTTGCAGGTAAACAGTTCTCTAAAACAAAATGAGAGACCTCCCCATTCTGTTTAATACAAATGGGTTGCAACAGATACTACCCAGTATAAGCAGAGCGTGTCGTCCAGAAGGAGGCACAGGCACAACACCATGCAGGAGCCCAACACAGGAAAACACTAACCAGGAACCAAATGTTTCCCAGGGCGGGTGACTTATATCTGTGAACCCAGCACATGGCTATTGCA